GGAAATATTCTTTTTTACTCAGAGGGACCTTAACTTTGATGTAAGGGATTGTTTCTGTTGCCAACTGTTTTCTTCCTTGCCAAGTAAGACAGTTGTGTTGAACTCTTCATGATGCCTTCCCCAGGATATTTGCAGATGTGGTTAGGAAAAGTCATTTCATCCCCAACCTTTGCATCTCAGGTGCTGAGGTGCTGGGGTGCCAGCTGGCCTGCCACCGGGCTCTCTCTGCCTCCAATCGCCATGGCAATCACGGGGAAGCAGGCCAGCCGGCAACCCCGCCCGGGGGTCCTGGGGTGCCGGCTGGCCTGCACCCAGGCTCTCTCTGCCTCCGATCACCATGGTGATCACGGGAAAGCACCGGGGGTGCCGGCTGGCCTGTGCCTGGCTCTCTCTGCCTCCAATCGCCATGGCGATCACGGGAAAGCTAGCCAGCCGGCCCGGAGGGTCCAGGGGTGCCGGCTGGCCTGCGCCCGGGCTCTCTCTCCCTTCGATCCACAATGCGATCACCGATCACTGGCCGCAGGCAGCCTGCAGCCCCGGCCTGGTTGTTGTTGCCTCGCCTGCCGCCAGGCTTTCCAATGGCAATCACCTGCTGGGGGGCGGGTAAAGGTGGCCGGCAGGGCCGCCTTTTCCCGCCCCCCCACCTCTTGCCTGCCTTCTGGGTTTCTGATCCCTTTCGCCTCCCATTATTGCGCCTATGTATGCAAATTAACCGCCATCTTGGTTGGCAGTTAATTTGCATATCGCCCTGATTAGCCAATGGGAAGAGTGTCAGAGGTACGGTTAATTACCATGTTTGTCTATTTTTAGATAGGATAATAGGAATAATTCCCTGCTGTTAGTCTCATTGTGAAATTCTTTTAGCTCTTCTTACAGTTGAATTTTAGAATAGTTTTGACAGATTTAAAGAAAAAAATTATTGCTCAAATTTTTATTTTAATTTTACGAATATATGTGGCAATTTGGAAATGTTTGGTATCTTTACAATTTGTTTTTGTTTCAGAAATAATGACATCTTTCTTTATGTTTTTAAGTCTTATATCTATCAATACTATTTTGTACTTTTTGTCATAATGTACCACTTTCCCAGGCTTTTGCTAAGGAATACTTTGTTGTTATTTGTACCTGGAATAGGACTATCCTAGAAACATTCTGTTTACTCTCCTAAAGATTGCAGAGTTAAAGATATGAAGTATATATTATTTATTCCTGTGTCTACTAGAGGTCTCAGGAAGAATCAAACAAAGCATTTGTGTGTACATTAGAATATTATATTGCTGATTATACTTCAGTGTTTCATTGGTTTTCTGAGGAATTATTTTACATTCTCTCTGAGGCAGTGATTTCATTTTTTAAAATACAAATGTACTCTAAAGTTAATAGGAAGATGAAAAAAATTCTTAAAGAGGAACAGAACATGTCTCTGACACTAACAAACTGAATATAATTTCTTGATGTGATAGTAATATATCTTGTAAGAGTAAGGTACTGGGAACAAAAAGAAGGGTCATACAAATTGAGTAGAATGTAGTTGCCATAAATGTAGAGACCGGAGTCTAGTGGAGTAAACAAATACATAAGTAATATATGACAGTGTGCAGTGTTTTTCATAGCGGTAATACAAAGTGCTCTGGAATTATAAAGGGAAGTATTATTTTTTGCTAGAGATATATCTTACATACTAGTTGCCTGGTGCATGAAATTCGTGCATGGGGGAGGGGGTGTTCCTCAGCCCAGCCTGCACCCTCTACAATCTGGGACCCCTGGAAAGATGTCCTACTGCCAGTTTACAGGGATCGGGAATAAACCAGCAGTTGGACATCCCTCTCGCAATCCGGGACTGCTGGTTCATAACCCCTCACCTGCCTGATTGCCTCTAACCACTCTTCCTTCCAGCCTGCTCACCCCCAATTGCCCCCCGCCACTGACATCCCTCTCGCAATCCAGGACTGCTGGCTCCTAACCGCTCACATGCCTTCCTGCCTGCCTGATTGCCCCTAACCACTCTGCCTGCCTGCCTGCTCGCCCCCAACTGCCCTCCCTGCTGGCCTTCTCGGCCCCACCTCCCCTCCCCACTGGCCTGCTTGTCCCCAACTGACCCCTGCTGGCCTTCTCACTCCAAACTGCCCCCCCGCTGTCCTGATTACCTCCAACTGACCCCCAACTGATGGCCTGTTTGCCCCCAACTGGCCCCCCTGCTTGTCTGCTTACCCCCAACTGCCCCACCCCCCACCAGCCTGATCACCCACGACTGCCCTCCCTTCTTGGCCTCTAACCGCCTCTAACTCGGCCCTGCCACCATGGCTTTGTCCAGAAGAACATCCGGAAGGTCTCCTAGAAGGTCTCTCAGTCTAATTAGCATATTACCCTTTTATTAGTATAGAGGCCTGGTGCATGGGAGGGGGCAAGCTGATTTGCCATGAAGGGTGTCCTGAATCAGGGTGGGGTTCCCTTGGGGAGTGGGGCAGCCTGAGCGAGGGGCCAGTGGTGGTTTGCAGGCTGGCCACACCCCCATGGGGTAAGGGTCCCCACTGGGTGGGTGTGGCCAGCCTGGGTGAGGGGCTATGGATGTTTTCAAGCTGGCCACACCCCCTTCAGGGTGGGAGTTCTTGCTGGGGTGCCTTGCCAGCTTGGTTGAGAGGCTGATGGCTCTTTGCAGGCTGGCCACACCCCCTTCAGGGTGGGGGTACCCACTGGGGTGCCTGGCCAGTCTGGGTGAGGGGCTGATGTCTGTTTTCAGGCTGGCCAAGCCCCCCAGCGGGGACCCTCACCCCATGAGGGTTTAGCCAGCCTGGGTGAGGGGCTAAGGGCTGTTTTCAGGCTGGCCACACCCCCTTCAGGGTGGGGGTCCCCGCTGGGGTGCCTGGCCAGCCTGGGTGAGGAGCTGATGGCTGTTTGCAGGCTGGCCACGGTCCCTGGTGACCCAAGCTCCCAGCCCCTCCTTTTTTTTTTTCAGCACCTCCTTGAGCGGAGGGAAGCAGGTATCTGGTATTTATTTATCTTCCATTATTGAAACTTTGTAGCCTTGAGCGGAGGCTAGGGCTGGCCAGGGTGGGTGGGAAGCTTGGCTTCCTCCATCGCTGGGGGCAACCCAAGCCTTCTGCTCACTCCAGCTCTGTTGCTGCCGCCATCTTGGTTGTGTTAATTTGCATACTCACTCCTGCTTGGCTGGTGGGCGTGGCTTTTGGTGTAGCAGAGTGACACCAATTTGCATGTTTCTCTTTTATTAGTGTAGATGATTTGACATTTGACCTGGGTTTCTTAGGTTGAGTTGAAATGTAACTGGCTGAACCCAACACAAGTGAGATTTAAAAGTAGAGAGCATTGATGTATTCATTTGTTCAGTAAATATGTATTGAGTGCTTACTATGTCTGCCAGGCACTGTTCTAAGCACTAGAGGTATAGTAGTGCCAAATACTGTGGCAAAACCCAATCCCAAATTAAGCTAATATTCTGGTGAGGGTGACTTACATTAAACAAATGAATATATGTAATATAAATTCAGCTAGTAAATATTCTGTAAAGAAAAGTAAAATAATATAGTGGAAGGAGAGCACTGGAATAGCTGTATGAATAGGTCACTTTTTATACAGAATAGTCATGCAAGGGCTCTCTAAATAAAGCAAAGGAACAATACAAGCAAAGATCTAGGGGAAGTACATTTGTGGGCAAAAGGAATATGAAGGAAAGGCTGACACAGGAGCAAGATTGGGAGCATATTCAGAGAATAGTAAACAAATCAATGTAGCCCTTAAAGACACCACTAGCATGCCTAGCTGCAAGATTTCTTTCAGCATGGGCAATTTTACCTGAAAAATCTGTGATTTGCTGAGTTTCTGCTGAAGGAGGAGTGCAAAGCAGCAGAATAATAGATGTAAGTGGCTAGCTAAGAAGATGAAAATTCCTTCCACTCATTGGTGATGGTTAAAACATTGAGAAAGAAAAATGAGCATCTCTAAGATGTTGGATTTTACCCACTATTACTACAAAAGTATATGTTCAGCTACCAAATGAAAGCCCCTGTTGATAGGCCAGGCTCTAATCCTAAGAAGGACTCAACAGCTTACTTGCATATCAGCATAAATATAAGGAGGACTTAGTGCTAATCATGTTACCTGGAAGCCTTCTCCTCTAGTTTCCATAAGCTTGTGACACCTGCTAATCCCGTCAACAAATACCTTTACTTGATGGTGGATCTACAAAGAGATGACATTTATGCACTGAACTCAGGGAATAGTTTAGCACTTTCCACTTAGAGTTAACAGTTCTTCCTGAAGAGAAACTAAAAATGTGAAAGGAAAAACAATGTAAAGTGATTAGATCTTACAACATACTTTAGCACCCAGTTTCTGTATCAAGCATATATTTTTTTTCCTTTGCTACATTGGAAAAAAATATTTAAGAATTACAGTGTTACAAGTAGAAATATGAGATACAATTTTTTGCCAAAGAGAGTCATTATTTTCTAATTTTTTTTTTACTGTTTAACTTTGATCTTTACAGATCTGACTATATGGAAACCTCTGGAATCAGAGCAATGCAAGAAGCAGTATATCGGGAAGGAGAGGTGTCAATGGAGAAGGTAGACAGTTTAGAGCCAAGGCTAGACAATGTCACTGTGCAGCACATGCAGCTTACCAGGTCTGCAATACAGACAATTGACTCTTATCAGAACCATGACAACATAGTACCCCTTCAAGTTTCTCTTCAGTCCCAAGGACTCCAGGGACTTACCAATATCCCCCCAAATAATTCACCCACTGATGTATACAAGTTTAATTTTCAGTTGTCAAATATGAATAACAAAAACCGGGAAGACCATAACCAACAAACTGACTCAAGCTGTAGTCCTTCAGAGCTCAGTTGCATGCAATTGATGCCAGATGAAATAGTGTGTAGAACAGCCAACTCCTATCCAATGACACAAGTAAGAAAGGCCCAGAAAGAGGAAGAATTTTGCAAAAAATTGATAAAAATTAGACCACGTGTAGGGAAAAGAATGCCAGTTAGAAAAATAACACAAATGATTTCAGATCCAACGACTGAGAGAAAAAGAACAACTCCCATTAACCCTGCATATACAATTAGAAAATCACGGGCTACCAACAGTGTCTATCTGCGACCATATAGGGACAGGGTTATTCACTTATTGGCATTGAAAGACTATAAGAAACCTGAACTCCTTCTTCGACTTCAGAAAGATGGCATCCAAAAAAGAGACAGTAACTCCCTTGGAAAAATTCTGCAACAAGTAGCCAATCTGAATACACATGATTTTTCATACACCTTAAAGGATAATATTTTTAAAGAGCTCCAAAGAGACTGGCCTGGGTACAATGAAATAGAAAGGAAATCATTAGAGTTGGTGCTTTCCAAAAAAGTAGGTCTATTTCAGAATGTCACAGGCACCAATTACCCAGATTCTTCTATAAGTTCTAGTACAGATGAAACATCATCTTCTCAGGAACAATTTTACAATTCAGTTGTTATTGATCCTCTTAGGAAAAAAAAAGTTAGAATAGCTCACATGAAAACTACAGTACAGTCATCATCTAATGGTTATTTGAATAACAGCAGTAAAGGATCTGCTGTGGATCTCCCATCACCCTCTGAAGCTACTGCCAATCCCATTCTTTCAGCACTATCTGTAATCCACTTTCCTATTTCAAATTCTTCTCAGCCTGTACATTCCAACAGCAATTCCTGCAACACTGCAAGAGATCAGGGGAGTCAAGATCCATATGTTGTCAGCTTTAGTCAAAACAGTATCTGCGAAAATCAGTGCGATAAACATAGTTCTTTGAAAACATTAGCCCCTATTCCAACTCAAATAAAGTTTCGGAACCTCATGGAAAATAAACATTTGATGTCCAATAAGTTTCAATATAAAATTATGGAGCATAAAGTAAATAGCCAAGAGTATCATATTGAGGTGATGGAGAAACAGAAGACAGATTCTGAAAGACAAAGTGAAGGTGCAAATCCAGAATCCTGTGAAGAAGTTGAACAGGTTAGCGCTGACTCTGGGAACACTTGTTCAACATCTGGGCTACAGGACTATTTGACTAACTATGTCACTATAGTTTCCTCTGAGCAACGTCAGCATTATAAACAGGAATTTAAAGCAGAATATGATGAGTATCGAGCCTTGTATGACAAGATGCAGACTGTATCTAGCATATTTACTAACCTAGATTCAAAAAGGAAGCACCTTCCTCCAGACTCAAAAGAATATGATAAAATTACTAAAAAAATGTCACTAGAATATCATAAAATGAGACAGATTCATCCCAATTATTTTTCAGAAAGATATAGATATCAGTATCTTTATAAAAAGCTGGCTCATATTAAAAGATTAATAAAGGATTATGACAAGCAACAAGTACAGTAATAGCCCAAGAACAGTATAATGAGTCAAAAATAAATAAATATATTTATTGAAATTTCTGAATTACTTGCTGTAAGATTCTAAAGGAATGAAACTTATTTGTTGAAACACTAAAAATTTCTATTTTATTTTTTTCTTTTCTTATGTATAGTTTAATTTTTATTTATGGTTATTTTTATTTTATGTTGATTTATATTTATTTCTATTATTTACTTTGTATTTAATTTTAACTTTCCTGAACTTAAAAAAAAATCCACACCTAAAGATATGTATTCCTTAAATTTATTTTAGAGAGAGTGGGAGAGCGAGAGAAAAAAACATCTATGTGAGAGAGAAAAATCCATTGGTTGCCTCCTGTACACCCCCAAGCAGGGAATGAACCTGCAGCCTAGATATGTGCCCTAACAGGGAATTGAACATGCAATCTTTTGGTGTACAGAGAAGTAGTTCCAGTCAACTGAGCCACCATGCCAGGGTGCTTTTCTTTACTTTTGAAGCTGTTTTATCTGATGCCTTTTACCCCTCATCCCCTGAAATTTGTGTTTCACTTCCTTAAAAAAATATTGCAGCTCCCATGTCTTTGAATCAAAATTGTGCTTATTGAAAAAAAAATAGAAACCTATAATGAGTATTATGAAATACTTTCAGATAACATAACCTCTTTCTTTTTACCTTTAATGCAAGCTCATCCTTAAAACTTAGGTACTTAGAAAAATGCTATGATTCTTCAAATAGTACACATTTTCATTTCATCAAGTTTGTTAAACTTGCATAAAATTGTTATTTGTTTTTATTATGGGGAACACAAGTTATGTGGTCAAACATACAAAAAGTGTGTGGTAGCATTCAAATTGTGTTGTCTTCTTAAGGGCTGGTGTTTGAAACAGAAGCATTATTTTACAAATCTAAGTTTTTAAATGTTTCCCCAAATTTGAGTACTGTTTTTAGTAAATATTTGTTTCCACCATCTAAAAGAAAAGTGGTGCATACCAAAGAATAACACTTATGTACATAGGAAGCCTAATAATAATATGAACACTTATGAACTTACCGACTAATTTAGTAATTAAAAGATTCCCAGTAACATTGCAGCTACCTTTGTTTTCCTCTCATCTGTGCTATGCCATTGCCTCACCCAAAGTGTTAAACAGGCCCCCAAATTTATTTGTATCCTTCCCTTGCTTTTTTTGAATCAATCATTTTATTTATTTTTTAAATTTTACCTTTCAATTACAGTTGACATGCAATATTATTTTGTAGAAGTTTCAGATGTATACATAGTGGTTACAAAATCATATACTTCACAAACTAGTCCCATCAATATTTCAAGAACCCATCTGGCACCATACAAAGTTATTATATCCTTAGCCATTTGCCTCAGTGGATAGAGGGTAGATCTGCGGACTGAAGGGTCCTGTGTTCAATTCTGGTCAAGGACATATGCCCAGGTTGTGGGCTCAATGCCCAGTGGGGGGCATGCAGGAGGCAGCCAATCAATGATTCTCTCTCCTCATTGATGTTTCTTTCTCTCTCTCTCCCTTCCTCTCTGAAGTCAATAAAAATATATATTTTTTTAAAAATCAGTTATTACAATATTATTCATTTTATTCCCTATGGTGTACTGTATATCCCCATGATTATTTTGTAATTATCAATTTGTACTTCTAAATCTCTACACATTTTCCACCTAGTTCCCTAACATCCCTCCCCTCTGGCAACCATCAAACTGTTCCCTGTGTCTATAACTGTCAATTTTGTTCATCCCTTTATTTTCTCCTTTAGATTCCACATATAAGTGAAATCTTATAGTATTTGTCTTTCTCTGTATGATTTATCTCATTTAGCATAATACCCTCTAGATCCATCCATGTTGTTGCAAATGGTAGGATTTCATTACTTTATACGGCTGAGTAATATTCCATTGTATATTTTTACCAAAACTTTTAAAATCTACTCATCTATCTGAAGAAGCCCAAAACAATAATTTGAAAGGATACATGTATCTCTATGTTTATTGCAGCATTACATACAATAGCCAAGATATGGAAATAACCCATGTGTCCCTTGCTTTTTAAAAATACTTTTACTCTCTCTATATACATCATTAAACAGTTCCATTTTTAGTCTTTATAAAAATGAAGTTATAGTGAGGTCATCATTTTGCTTTTTCCTGTCAACCTTATGCTTCTACTAGAGGCCCACTGCACAAAATTTGTGCATGGGGGAGGGAGGGTGCGTGGGGAGGTCCCTCAGCCTGACCTGCACCCTCTCCAATTCGGAGCCCTCAGCGAATGTGCTACTGATGGCTTGGGCCCACTCCCTGTGGTTTTCTGCTCTCTGTGGGGCCTGCCTGCTCCACACCACAGGGATGGGCAAGCAGGCCCTGCTGGGTGCTGCCTGTGGGCCCCCCTTGCCTGCTCGCGGGTCACCTTGGCGACCGCCCAGCAGGCCCTGCTGGGTGCTGCCTGCAGGCCCTGCTTGCCTGTTCGCGGATCACCACAGTGACTGCCCAGCAGGCCCTCCTGGGTGCTGCCTGCGGCCCTGATTGCCTGCACCCCGGTTGCCGTGGCAATGCCCAGCAGGCCCTGCTGGGTGCTGCCTGCGGCCCCGCTTGCCTGCTGGGCTCACCTTGCTGGGTTGATGCTGCCAGGGTTCTGCCCAGCTGCTATGGGTGCCGCCATCTTTGTCGTGGAATGATGGTTAATTTGCATATTACTCTTTTATTAGATAGGATGATTTAGTTATGCTGATATGTAAAGTTGTACATGTGCATTTTCTCACTTACATGTTGGGTTATAAGATGACCTCAACATAATTTAGTTATACATTCTCTTGTTTTTAGAGATTGGGTTTTTCTCTCTTTTTTTGTTATCATAATGTTGCTGTGAACATTTCATACAATTTATCCCTTTCCATCATTTGTGCTCTTATTTTCATGAGTTTTTATTCTCTCTCTTTTATAACTCCACAGGAATTTATTGTTTTGTATTGTCAATATTTACTTAGATTTACATGCATTTTCCATTGCTTGTAAGGTTTAATCAATGTTTTTATTTCTGACTGAGATGATTTTTATTTTCTTGAAAAGCTCCCTTTTTTCTTTTATCTGAATCCTCTCAGTTTTTTAGTGTGCATATGCTCTTAATTGATCTTTACTTTTTAAGGACATGTTAACTAAATACAGATTTCTAATATGGTGGTTATTTTCATTTGCAATCTATACTACTAAAAGTTTAATATGCTAATTAGACTGGATGTCTTCTGGATGTCCTTCCTGACAAAGCCAGCCCCAGGCGAAGCCACCCACAGTCCCGGGCACCTGCAGCTGCAGCTGCCCGGGAGAAGCTGCCTGCGGTCCTGGGCAAAGCCGCCCACGGTCCCGGGTGTTCCTGCGGCTGGCCTAGGCTGAGCCACTGGGGGTCCTGGGTGCCTGTGGCCAGCCCAGGCCAAGCCAGCCCAGGTCCCTGGGGGCTACGACTGGCCAGAGGGAGGTAAGCCCAGGTCCTGGGTGTGGGGCTGAGGCAGAGGCAGTTAGGGGCAATCAGGCCGGCAGACAGAGGGGTCAGGGGCGATCAGGCAGGCAGGCAGGCAAGCAGGGATCGGGCCTAAACTGGCAGTCAGACATCCCCCGAGGGGTCCCAGATTGGAGAGGGTGCAGGCTGGGCTGAGGGACCCCCTCCCCATGCATGAATTTCATGCACTAGGCCTCTAGTCTATATATATAAAAGGCTAATATGCTAAGTGTCTGACTGTCCAACCAGTCGCTATGACGTGCAAAGACCACCAGGGGGAAGACACTCAACGCAGGAGCTGCAGAGCTGCACTGACTTGGCAGCGGTGGTTCTTAGGTGATGCACCCTGAAACCAGAGAGGAGGGAGCCTGATTCCCCATAGGGCCACACAATTCCACCTTTGGCCTAGGTTATGTTGTTGCTGGAGCACTGTCGGCCCCAAATCTGGTTTACTGCACACTTGCATTTGCGTTCCACTACCTGTATGACAGCAACTTTGCAGAGTGCCCTCTCGCACTCCAGGATCCCTGGGGAACTGTTGGAGAGTCAGTTTCAGCCCCATCCCCACAGGCCAGGCAAAGGTACCCCACCTGCCAGAGGGACCCCGCTCATTCCACAGACGCCAGGGTGGGGCCATAGGAGGTTGGCTCCAGGGTGTGTCGTTCCAGACTCAACCAGTCCCTCCCCACCAGCCACCTTCTAATTAATTTCCTTTCAATGTGCATGAATCCATGCACCAGGTCACTAATATAAAAATATAATTACATTTGCCCTGGTGTTTTCATTCTTGTTGAGGCATTAGCTGTCAGTCTTATTGTTCCTCCTTTGATGGTCATGTATCTTTTTTCTTTATCTGTTTTAAGTTTTTTCTTCTTGTTATCTTTGCTTTTCAGTAGAGTTATTGAAATATACCTAGTTATAGTTTGAGGTAGTCCATTAGGCTTCCAAAATGATCTGCTAATATTCCTGTAAATATTGTTTTTTCCCCATTCTTTCTCATTTTGTTTTCATTTTTCTTATGTCTCTTATGAATATTTCTGTAATTTATCTCTTTTCACTCCATGTTTCAATCTGTGTGTTCTCTGACCATGTTTGGTCAGAGGAAATTTTGAAAAAATAAATTATGTTGTAATAATTCAGACTACAGGTGTATAGACTTAAAATGGGAGATGGAGATGTTGGAATAAATATACAACTAGGAAATATTCACAGATGATATTACACCAAAGAAATAGTATTAAAATTCATTGATTTTATTTCTGTTACTTTCATAAATACTATTTTTGAAATGTGAAGAAAATTAAACTAAAATTAGGTAATGAAGACTAATACCTACATGAAGAAATATTAGATTCTGCACAGGAAAATTAATTGATAATTTTTTTCTAATTTACAGAATTATTGGATTTGTTCCAACTTAGTAATTAGCTCATTCCCTTCTATATTGCTTTTACATTGATTCAATTTATTATTTTAATGCTAAATATTGAC